ATTGCTCAGAGACCTACTATTTTAGGACATGTATAAAATGTTCTTCTGAATTTTTCTCATTTCTTCTTTTTTAACTAAAGGAACCTTAACTACTTAAGTCTTTTTTAATTCAAAAGTCAAGTAGTCATTATGACTACATAGCCAAGTTGATTTGTGGTTCCAATTTTGTCTAATTTGTAACCCATTTTTAAGACTAGTAAAACACTATTTGTAATTTGCTGCCATTTCTTTTAAAGTTCCAGATGTTTCTTAGCCTGTATATTTGTCAGATCCCTAAACTGAGGAATTATTGGTTATAGAAGCTACACTGAAATATTCATCTTGACACCATAAAACATTTGTGTGCTTAAAACTCAATACTTCAACAGTACTGGAGAGCCTTTTCCAAATGCCTTTGTCGCCTCTCAGGCTGTCTGTTCCCAGAAGACTGATGACAGCAGGTGCGGTCCCTTCCTCTCCCCTCCCTGCCCATTGGTTCTGCTCTCCATCACCACAAACCCAAGATCGGCAGGGAAAGTTCAAACCGTTCTTTAGCAACAGGTAATGAATCACTTATTTCGTACAGAGACAGGAAGGACTGTCTGTAAGGTCTCTCTGGAGGTCGGCCAGTAGTATTAAAGTCACTTTCTGTCTGGAGAATAGCCACACTTCCTTCATGTTGAAGATGCAAATATGGGGAACTCACCAAACTCATTTTAAATAGAGACTTTGGGGGCACCTGGGTGGCTCAGTGGGTTAAGCCGCTGCCTTCGGCTCAGGTCGTGATCTTGGAGTCCTGGGATCGAGCCCCGCATCAGGCTCTCTGCTCGGCAGGGAGCCTGCTTCCTCCTCTCTCTCTGCCTGCCTCTCTGCCTGCTTGTGACCTCTCTATCAAATAAATAAATAAAATCTTAAAAAAAAAAAAAAAGTTCACTTTCAAAAAAAAAAAATAAATAAAAATAAAAAAAAAATAAATAGAGACTTTGTCACCTTAAAACATTTAAGTGGTTGGATCAGAAGTTCCAAAGTCCATATTTCAAGCAACGTAAAGTTTACAAGATGCTGTCTATAATTTAAGAAACTGAGTTCCGTAGCAAACAAACATATCTGTCATGCCTAAAGATTAGGTTTTGAATGAGAAAATGGTGCTATTTATTTGGAAAGGAAATTAAGACCTTGTTCCCTGTGATGGAAACATACAGATACAGATTACTTACATTAAATTACATACTACCGATCTGAGGTAGTCAATTAATGATGAATGTATTCCAAAGAGAAGTACTATGCAAAACTCTGAATTGTGGGGCTCCGTGTGACTAATTGCTCTCTCTTATCTCTGCCTAGAGTAAGCACCCACAGCCCATGAGAATAGCACATCCACCATAATTTTGGGGCTTGGGAGCATTTTTGCAAACAATTACTGCCTTAATTCTTGAACTATGGGTGCTCACAAAATAGTCACCAGTTAAATCAACAAATCCTTAATCAATTAGCATAGAGACTTGGATGAACCTTCTTTATTGAACAAGAATATGTCCTGCTATTTCCTGCTATTCCAGCATTATTTTTAAAAAATAGACCCTGGGTAAATGTCGTCAAGTTCAAGCTGTTGGGGGAAAAAGGGGAAAGTTTCATGAAAAACTGACTTTAAAAGAAATGTAAATTGCCAGACTAAAGGAAACAGCGTGATTGGTAGATCCTGGGAAGCTCCACAGCAGGGATAGTAACTCAAAAATTATTAAATAAAGGACTGGCCACACTTCCACAATATCTGGCTTATATTCTCTTTGTGTTCAACTGTTGAATTTTAAATAAATTCTGAGTTATTTTCAGTATTTTAATGTTGGCTAATATTTGTTGAAAGAAAATTAGCCTTTGGTTTTGGGACAGAGTCATGAAAGTTGTATCACATTCTTGAATACGACTACATTACATTCAGTCACAGCTCTGTTCAGAAACACATTTTTGGTCTTAAAACAAAAATCAACAATGAGAAAAAATACAGCTCAGCATTGCTACAGCAAACTTGGCTGAAACACCTCTTGGTCATTCATTTAGTGAGGAGTATTATGTATACTTATATAGGTGCTAGCTGCTTTTGTAAGGCAGCAAAGATGCCCTTTGTTCTTAATCCAGTGCTATCTTGTTAGAAAACCAGTCCTATTCATTCCTTCACTCTGGCAAGTAAAATTGGCAGAGGACTGTAAAATTGTCAAAGAAACATATCACTTAACCATTCCAGATCATTCAAATAACTTTTCCACAAAACATCCAAAATCGCTGTTAGAATAGACTCAGATTTTCTATTCCACAACCATGCATTTTATTCCTAAACAGCAAAAGACACCAAAATGAGAAGGGCTGCAGACTTGATTTGTTTTGTGTCAATAAGGTCAGCATACCTTGTATCTAAATTTTCATTTGCACTGTGTGAAGTGCAGAGACTGAAGTACCATTGTCCCTGAAGATGATATAACATTTGAGGACAAAATAATAATAGTAGTAATAATTACTATTATAATTATAGTAACATCATTATTACTATGTATACACAGACACATGGATGTGTGTGTATATATCATCTTTATTTATCCCCTAACCCTTTGACTAAGGTCTTCGATTTTTTTTTTTTTTTAACTATGGTATTATCAGTACTTTAACAAAAAATTCTCTTTGGAAAACGGTTCAACTTCTTTCTTTTGTTAAGCAACCATGTATGCGTTTCATGTTCTGCCTTGCCCCATCCTCACGGTCCCAGGGCCAGGTCCACGGTCCCAGACGCCGCTTTCCTTCCAGAGAACACTGCTCAGAATGCCACACTTGTCTGGGCGGCCATCAGATCCCAATCCCGGACTCCCTGGGCGTGTACCAGCCTGAGCCTACCAGCCTGAGCCTGCCTTCAAATCGGAACACCGAAGGTTCCACCCATCACAGTGGCGGAAAGGTAGGCCGGCGATCCCCCAAAGATCAGGTCTCCAAGGCCACACCCCCACCTCGAGGGGAGGAGGTCCCAGAAACGTAAGGCCCCGGGAGGGCCGGGAGCGCGCAGGGACCGCGCCGGCCCGACAGAAAACGGCAAGCCCGGGGCGGCCCCGGCCAGGTGGCGGCACGACCCAGCGATCTGCCGACTGGGGCTGGCCCGCAGCTGGGGGCTCTTCCCCCAACCCCTCACTAGATCCCCACCCCCAGCTTCGCCCCCCGCCCGCAGCCGGCCGGTCGGCGCACGCGCGTCGGTGCGCCCAGCCCCGGCGCCCTCCCGGGCGACGCTGTCCGGCCGGGACAACGCGGGCGGAGTGCGCGTCCCGGGTGGGGGGCGAGAGGGACGCCTTGGGTCTACGCGAGAGAGGCGCGAGTGGGCGAGCACGGACGGGACGGACCTCCCGGGGACACCTGGACTCCATCTTCTTTCCTCCAGACTGTGGGGCCGGCAACGGGGCGGGGTTTCTCCTGGCGGGGGTGAGCGAGACCGTTAGGCTGGAACACCGGGAGACGGTCCTGGCAGCTCCGGGCCGCCACCCGCGCCGCAATAAGAGCTTCTCGCGGCTTCCCGCCCAGCCAGCCTCGCTCTGATTGGTCGCCATGGGAGAGGGACCCGAGTTGGCTGGAGGCGGCGGCCGGGGCTGCTCCCGTGCCGCCCCGGGAGGGCACGCCCCGCGCGCTCCCCCACCGGGAATGGGCGGTCTAGGGCAGCACCCGCGGCGGCACCTGGCAGCGGCAGTCGCGACACACAGGCCCCTCCGCCCGGCTTTCCCCGGGCGCTTCCCAGCACACGCCCCCTGCCCGGAATGTACGCCCATCCCACCCAGCTCTCTGCGGCCCCTGCTCCTTTTCTTACCCCCTTCCCGACCGTCCACGCCAGAGCGCAAATCCCTGGGTGGGGTGGGGTGGGGTGGGGTGGGGTGAGCAGCTGGAGGGGAGGGTGGGCACGCACTGAAAAATCTTCAGGGAGGCCGGGATAGAAATACACCAAATGAAATGAACCTCCGGAACGCCGAGGTTTTCTGGGCGGCGGCGGCGCAGCCCCCGCCACCCGCGGCAGCATCCCTCGGCTGTCTTCCCCTCGGCTCCCTATTGTTCGCACTTTGCAAGGATCAGGAACCTCGCCCAAAGAAAGGAGGCTAGAGCGAGGTGTTGCGGGCGGCTACCTGCCATTCTTCTCGCGCACCGTGCAACACGGGGCTCGCGGTGCGTGTGAAGGCACACGCGCGCGCACACACGCGCACACACACCAGGCAGCCCGATCACGCCCTCCTCGCCCTCCGCCCCTCCGCCCCTCCGCACTTCCTCCTGTCAAAACGCGGCGCTCGGCCCTCCCATCCCTCCGTGCTCCCGGCCGAGAGCAGGCTTTGCAAGTAACCAGCAATTTGGCAAATGAAAAACTAACGTCATATCGACGGGGGTGCAACAACGGCCACACAGCCCTGAGATTCAACCCATTTCGTCCCATTTTGCAAACCGTTATTCAGTCTGGGCGGGGATGGGGGGCTGGGCGCGAAGGCGGCGAGCCCCACTTTATTAGACCCGGGGAAATAACGATGGGGCGGCTGCCCCGGCCTTATTGTTCACTCGTCGCGGAGCCGGGGCTGACAAGCCCCTTTCCCCGCGGAACCCAAGCTCGCGCGGCAGCACCGCGGAGCCGCGGCACCCCCGCCCCGCCGCCCGCTTCGGGGAAGGAGCGCTGCCCAGCACCCGCGCGGCCGTAGCGCTCTCGGGACCGACCCCAGGAGCAGGCGACTCCGCTCCCCACGCCGCCGGCACACAAAGTGGGAAGGGCGGGCGCGCAGGAGGCGCGGCGGGCGCTCGCGGCGCTCGGAGGCAGCCCCGGTCCGGCGCAGCCTGGGAGAGCGCGGGGTTCCGCGGGGCAGCAAGGGCGACGCGCTCCTTCCTCAGCTCAACGACAACGACCACCCTTAGCGTTCCACGTAAAGCCACCCCAGATAGCAGTGTCCTCGGGGGGAGAAGGAGGGGGAAGGGGGCAATCAGTACATCAGTCTGAGAATAATCATAATTTCAAAATGTACCTGCAGTTCCCAGGAAAAACAAAGTCCAGATGAGATCCTTAGTTTGCAGCATTGTAATCTGCTGGCTGGGAGGGATGTTCTTGCCGCGGTAAATTCTGTGCCCCCCCCCCTTGCAGAGTGTGGACGGCGGCAGAGCAACAGACCTAGGGGCAGACAATTGCCAGGCTGAGTATGATTATTTTTGCAGAATTGTTTCCTGCCAGCGGCTGCCGAGCTGCGTTCACGCGCTGATCGGAGAATGAGTGACAGTCCCAGCCTCAGCACACTCGCAACTCGGAGATCCTTGCGCTGGCCCGGGTTCGCTTTGATGGAACTGGGGATGGGAGCGGGGGGCGGGGGGCGGGGGTGAGAACCTCACTGTGTCCTTCCACCACGCCGGCCACAAATAGTGCCGAACATCAAGGAGGTAAGAGAGACAGGGGAGGCAGATGCGGCGGCCTGCAAAACGCGGCCTGGAGCCGCCGGAGGAGTCGGGCTCTTTCACACGCAGTCTTCCAGGCAGAGCTGGGATTTCTTCTTTTCACACTTCTCCCCCACGCCTCCGTGGTCCCTCCTGCCATCCAGCCTTCCTTAATCGGAAAGGCGGATATTTTAATAACTAGTAAATAAAAGAAACAAAATCTTAGGTTTGGTTAGGTTTTCAAAGTTGTCGAATCTCCATTTAGATCTTAAGATCCTTGAAACACAAGTATAGCCTAGGATATTTCTTTTTTTCTTAAATGCAGGAAATTAAAAATTTGGAGAGGGATGGAGACAGATTGCTGTTGCAGGGTTCTGCTTTGTTTTTGTTTTTGTTTGTTTGTTTGTAACTGGTTATGAAGTTTACTCTCCCACAGAGTGGCAACAGACCTCAGGAGAAGGAGGTGGGAAGCTACTTAAGTTCGAAGAAAACGCAGATGTTTAGAAGGGATTTCCAGAAACAACCAATGGAAATGTTTCCTTGTTTATGAATGCTGAAATCTGTGGTCTCTTTATGAAGATCACTGAGCCTTTTACGTAGGTCTTTATAGGCAAGATATTAGATAATAATTTTTTTTTAATGACACATAACCTCAGTTCTTAAAGATATTAATGTAGGATGTCCCTGAGGCACACACAAAGGCTTTCAGTAAATCTTACAGCTGTATTTTTTACAGAAGAGGGTGGGAGAGCCGAGGGGGGTGGGGGCGGGGGGCGGGGAGACATGTCTCAGCACCTGAGCAAGGCTTGAGTGTTTAAGGAACAAACGCTGAGGAAGAATCAGGAGCACCAAATGTTCTAGATGCTGGAAGAGCCTATTAGCCCAGCGCAGTGACACCTTCCCAGAGGAAGTCTGCCACATTCAAAGCACCAATACACCAGTATCACCAAGTACTCCCTTTTTCTTTAAAGGTCAGACTCTCCACTGCTGTACTAATCTTTAAAAATCCATCCTCTGCTGGCCAGACAGCCAGCCTCCATTACTAGAGAGGTTGGTATCTCCTCCTTGTCTCCTCCCATGTGTTAGACCAAGAGGGCCATACCTACTCGCTGTGCCCTCTGGGGCCCTGAAAAATATTCTCTCTCCCAAATCAATCTTCCCAATGTTATTTTTAAAATATTTATTTCATACCAACTATAAGTGATTCAAAAATACAGAAAAGTAGAAATAATTAAAAACACCCCCAAATCCCAGATTCCACAGATATCCATGGATTTTCTGTCTTTTCTATATGCATATGATTTTTAGAGTTGACATATAGTAGCAATTGGAATCTTATTTCCTCTAACATTTCATTATAAGCATTTTCCTAGGCTGTTAAAAGGGCTTTCTGAATTTTTTATAGCTGTGTAATATTTCTAGGTATTAATGGTTCCTCAGTGGTTTCTCCCTTTTTGGGTATTTAAATGGTTTCCAGAGTTTGATTGTATAAATAATGCTTTTTGAACATCTTTCAATAAATATTTATTGAAAAACCACTGTTTTTAGCCATGTGCTGGATATAGTGGACTATATAGATTTCTTTAATGGTGGCTGCATTTAAGCATCTTTACCTTCAGATATGAGCTTCTACTAACATGTAAAATTACTTCTGTAACATATAATATTAAGTCCAATGTATTAGACTCTTTCCTAAAAAAGAGTTTTGGGTAGTAGGGAAAGATGGAGAGAACAAGCCTGAGGAGAAAAAGGAAAAAAGTGAAGGCTGGGATAACCCAAAATAAAATTTTCCTAATTCTAATTTTACCAAAATTCTAATTTTACCAAGAGTGAGAGACACACCCTTCTCAGCAAACCTCCCTTCTTATAGCCCATGTCAGTAGAATGAAAAGATTCCTCACTATTTTTTCTCCCCAAATGTCCCTATTTTTAGCTTTTAAACGTAGGCAGGTGTAGAAATCCTATCTGACTTCAGCATGATTTTCTTTCTTTTTTTTTCCTCTCTCTCTCTCTCTCCAGCCCCTCCCTGCCGTGTGGCTGTTGATCTCTGTTGTAATGACTCATTCTAGAAGTCCACACTGCATGTGTCTCTCCTGTGTTCTTTTAACAGGATCCATCACTTGTCTCCAGTTCATCCTCTTTCCACCCATCAGTGCCTACCTCTGTGAGCTCTGCGTGTCAGTTCCTCCCTGAACCTCACTTTGAAATGGGACAAATTGTGGACCTCCCCTGACGTCTTTTCCCAGAGGGAGTCCCAGGTGTCCCAGACTGTCAGACACGCAGTAATAAGCATCCATCGTGTGCACATCCAGCAGGGGAAGTCAAGGAAGGAGCCACTGGGGACTGTGCTTTAGAGATCCACTTCCATGGTAAAGCAGAAAATGGGCTACAGTGGCAGGCCAATAAGGGGTGACAGGTCCTAATCTAAGTAGTGTGGTGGGAAAGAAAGGGGAAAGAAAGCCCAACACGAGCGCAGATTTGAGAAACATTTCTAAGGCAAAAATAGCAGAACTAAAGAACTTTCTGGAGGTTGGGTTCTGAGGCAGAGGAAGATGTCAAAGTTCTTTCATTCATTCAACAAATACTATCAGCTAAGTGCCTGCATCGCTGTAGACACAGGATAGAGCAGTGGGCAAAACAGAATGTTCACCTCCGTTCTTCCATTCTTATGGGAAAGATAGAAACAGACGGATAAACAGCTAGTATGCTGGTGATGATGTGTGCTAAAGGGAAGACACAAGCTGAGGAGTAGTGCAAGTGCAGTCAGAGAGAGACAGAACTGAAAAAAATAAGATGACGATTTAGAAGTTCCCTGGATTTGACTCTTGGAAAGTCATCAGCAGTCTCTGAGGGAGCCCCATGGAATCGTGGAAAGGAGGATGTGACTGTCCCAGGAAGATAGGGTGGCCTGTCCAGGAAGGAGAAGCAGGGAGTATAGACACTCATCTGAGGAGTGGTGTGATAATGGGACAAGGACAGGAAGGCAGGCTTGTGGGGGAAGGAGGCTTGAAAGAAGATTTTCTTTTCTTCTCTTTCAGTATGAGGATTTTCGTGTTAGGTGATAAAGTACATGACATGCATTGTTAACCCCCTCTCACTACCACCACAACTTGGGTGTTTAGACTATTTGCAAGATGAAGTAGGTCTACAGCAAAGTGCTCCCCCTATGTTCTTCCCCATGTAGGGTTTCTTCCCTGTTGGTGCTGAGAAGGAGACCTCAAGCGTGATCGCAGGGCCCACAGATATCCCAGGAGCTGTATCTCTCATTTGGCACAGGGAAAATGCATTCTGGGAAAAAAATTCTGCCCCCAAATCACTTCATCATACATGCAAGAGCATACTTATGGGCTCTCCAGTCTATTCCATTGGTCTATAGTGTGTCTTTATGCCAATATCACACTGTTTTGATTATCATAGCTTTGCAGTAAGTTTTTAAATCAGGAAATGTGAGACCACCAACCTTATTCTTCTTTTTCAAGATTATTTTAGCTACTCAGGATCCCTTGAGAATCCATATGAATTTTAGGAATGACTTTTCCTATTTCTACAATAAGAAGATCATTGGCATTTGGATAGAAACTGAGGGATGCCATTTTCTAATACGCCCAGAGTTGTTCTTTGGGCTAGAGTTGGAGCCAAGCAGACATCTTGGAGGTAAATATGCTTTAGGCATCTTGCTCCGCAGCTGTGGGACACTGAGTCACAAGGAACCGTCTATTACAGAGTGCCCATTTGGGTGAGCAGTTCCTTTCAATGGAGACAGAGAGAGATGAAGCAGAACCCAATCACAAGAACCAGGCTAGGGAATGTGTGGTCAGCTTAGAGGACTTACACGGAGCTAGAAAAGGCAAGATGGGTTTAAATGGTTTCTTGGCTCCAAACTGAACTCCCTTTTGTGGATTTAAAAGAAAAAGAAAAATCTACTAAACAGGTGATTTAGCAAAGATTGGAGGAAGGAGCCAAGATCGCTATGTCGGGATCTTCTAAATCAGAGTATGACTGAGCTGATGTTGGAGACCTAATAACTTCCTTTCTCCCTCTTACACAACCCACACACCCCAGTGGCCATGAAGTGAGGGGAGTGAGCTCTCAGGTCCTGCACTTGGACATTCCAAGTTCAAATCCTAGCTTCTTCACCTATAGATAGGCTCTGTGGATTTGGGCAAATTATTTCACATCTGTTACCCTTGTTTTTCTTGTTCATAAAATGGGACTAGAGCAGCATCTATCTTTCAGAGTTCTTGAGAACACTAATTACAATAACATACATAGAGGGCTTAGTGCAGGCCTGACACTCTCATTCAACGTATATTGAGCACTGATCACATGTACTGTGTTAGCGGTAGGGGATTAAAGAAAAGGTGAACAGAACAACCTTGCTTACAAGGCTTATAAAGAAGACAATTAACCAGAGAGACGAACACCATTCTGAACTGTAATTAGATACATGAAAGAAATAAACAGGATTCTTTGGTAAAGAATGACAGCAGAGATCTACTTTAGATGAAGGAAGGCTTCCCTAAGGACAGGTGACAGGTAAGTTGCCACCTAAAGCATGAGAAGTACCCAAGGCATGGGAAGAACAGGTGGAGGTGCATTCCAGGAATGTGCAAAGACCCTGAGGTCAGTAAAAATGGCTACTTCTAGCAACGAATAGCATGTGAATGGCTGGGACAGAAAGAGCAAAGAGAGGAGGGACAGAAGAGAAGAGGCACACATGAGCCCCTCTGAAGTTGCTAAAGTAAGGAGTTTGTATTTTATTTTAAGTTCAAAGAAAGCCCCTGGAGGACTTTCGCAGCAGAGTGACATGAGTTGTTTTACACATTTTAATAACCACTCCGAC